CCCTGGTGGGGAAGCGCTAGCCCTCAGTTTCACTGTTATGAGGGGCCGACATTTGGCCAGTCCTGCTGAGCTGGTCTCAGCCCATACCTCGGGAATAGTCCTCATCAACTCTTGCAGGAAAGCATCTGAGTCAGGGTCCCCAAGAGGTGGCATAAAGTTTCTATTCATCCTCTAGAGCTGAGGTTAACATGTGTATTGGGCCATTTAGGACCTTCACTCCCTCAGGTCCAAAATGGATTTGAGTTCCTATTTTTGTCAGGAGGTCATGGCCCAGGAGAGGATAGAGGCATCCTGGTATGACCGAAAAATGAATGGGTTACTGTCCCATTCCCAAGTCTACCTGTCTTCTGATAGTCCATGGATAGGGCTTGGTCCCTGTGGCACCCCAAACCCAAGTCTTTTTGGTTGTTTTAGGACTGAATGTTGAGCTTCGGTGTCCACCAAAACCCCAACGGCTTTCCTCCACCTTTAGGGTTATCCAGGGCTCATGGAGGGGTGGTGAGCCCTGACATCCTCAGTCACTGAGTTCTTTTAGCTCCAGGAACTTTGATTTGTTGGTCTAGGCTCTCTTAAGACATTCATTTTTCCAATGCCCCTTTTCCTTGCATTAATCTTTTTCTATGGGAGGCTGGGGCCTTGTCTCCACCCCTTCTTCCCCCCACTCCCTGTCTAGCTTCCCCTCACCCCAGGGAGGAACCCGCTCACCTCCTTCTCTCCCATAGGCCAGATTCTTCAGTTGCTTTGTGTCAGGTCTTTCATGATGGGCTGCAAGCAGGATTTTCACCACTCCCTGTTTTTGTCTGTCCTCTGGAGTTTCTCTATCATTGTAGACCTTTTCTGCTATAGCAACCAACTCAGTTAACAGTTTACCTGCAAATCCATCTAGCCTGTTAGAGCTTTTGTCTGGGACAGCCAGATTGAGGAAAGCCATGTTGATAGCTCATTGGTTCTATACCTCTGGGTTGAAAGAAGTGTAGGTCTGGTAGGCACCCAGCAGCCTCTCCAGGAAGGCGCCTGCCTGGACCGGTGGTGGGGCATGGTGGTTCACCAGGTACTGCCAGGTGGTTATATGGGGAATCTGGTCCGGGTGTCCTGGATTTCCATAAACCAAACCTTTCACCCTGTAAATGGTAGGCAAGTGGAAAGCCCCCTCTTGCGACCAGCCTACCTTGAACATGGGCCATTCTTTCCTACCAAAGATAGTTAATTTACCCGGGCAAACCGCCAAACCTGAATCCTCTAAGACCCAGTGGAAGGCCTTGAAGTGATCCAGTATTACTCAAGGGGGTAGAAGCCTGACCCATGATTGAAACTGATTAATCCAGAAAATCCCACAGAAAGACAATGACAAGGATGACGACACCCACGGACACAGATGTTCCCGGAAAAAAATGAAAACAGAAAAACAAAAACAGAGAGCATCATCGCCTGGCCTCACTCTCTGTGCACGAGAGGTGAAGAACCTGATGCCGGCTTAGAAACCACATGAGAATTTTCAGATTCTCCCAGAACCAGACAAGAACCCTTGGGCCCTCTCTGGGGGTCGGGAGCTTCCTCCGTCACCGCTGGCTGCTGGACTGAGTGTGCATCCGCTCAGTCCTCTTCCGTCTCTAGATGGCGCTCAAGAGATTACCAAACAGAGAGACCACAGAACAGACACAGTGCCGGGGAGAAAAGAGAAAAAGCGTCCCCTCTAACACTCAACCAGTCTGGGTAAGCGTGCTCAGTGATCCCAGGACGAGCCCCCAAATGTTAGGGTCCGTGGGCCCAGACCCAGATGGTATGTAAAAACAAAAAGCATTTATTCTGCAAAGAATTCCGGCATGCTGGGGTCACCACCTTCACAAAACGGCAGCAACCATAAGGGGAGCTCGCAGCCTCCTTTTAAAGCCAGAAAAGAGAATTTCAACTATGGCTACCTAACTTCAATTGGGATTGACTAGTGTCCATGGAGGCTCTATGACTCTGATTGGGATTGGCTGGTGCCCATGGAGGCTGTGTGACTTCCAGTGGGACTGGCTGGTACTCGAGAAATTAAGTCCTCTTAGCTATGGTGGATGGTAGGCCCAGCTTCAGAAAATAGAGACCAGGGCTCCCCCAAGCAAGCTGGCTAGTGTGAGAACCAAATAGGAAAAATATACCTTGTAGGGTTAGAGCTCTGTTTGCAGTTAAGAGTAAGTTTTTCATCAGTTTTCTTTAAAGGCTGGCCGCTGGGAGTTTGAACATGCTCCAGTGAGTGTATGGGCAATACATGTTGAACTTCTTTCTTTTCTTATTTTTGTATTTTTTCTTATTTTTTGGGGGGTGGGGAGGCTAAATGGGGGGGCAGAACTGGGAGGACTGGGAAGTGAGCATAATTGGGGTTCATGATATGAAATTCCCAAATAAGCAATAAAAATATTATGTAAAAAAGAATAAATTTCTGTTCTTATGTTTGTTTGACCCATCTGCACCAGGTATGCTTAATCACATGTGGGCAGGAGGTACCCAGAGATGGACATTCGGACTAATATTTAACTAAAGCTTGCTTCAAATTTGGCTCAAAATTGTGGTAGTGGTCTTATTATTTTTTTATTTTTATTATTAGTTACATTTTATTAACTCTGTATCCCAGCTGTATCCCGCTCCCTCATTCCCTCCCAATCCCACCCTCCCTTAACTCCTCCCTGCCCCTTTCCAAGTCCACTGATTGGGGAGGTCCTCCTCCCCTTTCATCTGACCCTGTTTTACCAGGTATCTTCAGGACTGCCTGCAAAGTCCTCCTCGTGGCCTAGCAGGACTGCTCCTCCCTTGGGGGGTGGGGAGGTCAAAGAGCCAGCCATTGAGTTCATGTCAGAAATAGTCCCTGTTCCCCCTACTAGGGAAAACCAATTGGTTACTGAGCCACCACGGGCTACATCCAAGCAGAGGTTCTAGGTTATATCCAAACATGGTCCTTGGTGGAGAGTGGTCTTATTCTTGACCAGTGAGATTTACAGTAGAATAGCCATACCTTTAGATCTGGGTTTGAGTGAAAGAACTTGCCTAAAAAAGAGGTGATTTTAGGACATCAACCTTGGGCCTCTACATGCATGGGCATATGAGCCCCCCACATATGCAAACATGCATACATATGCATACTCACTCACATCATATACACTATATATGAAAAGAAGTTAAAGAGAGAGAAAAAAAGATGTAAAATCTACTCTCCTATTCCACGACCACTTTGTTGTTGAACTTGGGGGAGGGGTGCCCCAAGCCAGTTTTAACCACCTGTCCTCAATAAGTCAAATTAACATCAGAAAGCAGAAACAGATTATTCATTGTGACCACACTGGGAAGAAGGACAAAGATCCAGAAAACCCCTTAAGGACTCCCTGAATACACCTTAGTGCGTCCTGAAGTGAGATTAATAAAAGAGGGCTAAAGATGTCAATGTGTGGTCCTGCCTACTCCGACCCATTATCTGGGCTTCAGTTTTATCTGTAAAATGGTCTGACATGTTGTTAGAACTGTGTGAAATCTGTGTGACAAGTTCTCTCTCTGGCTGGGGCCTTTTCCTTCTCCCAGCAGATCCCTGCAGAAATTCGCATTTCTTTGGGGTCCTTGTTTTAATCATCTGACAGTCAGGTTGAGAATTGCAAGCATCTCTTCAGAGTAACTCATTTCTCCCAGGCTAGAACTTCACCCTGTTTCCCATCTTCACAGCTATCACAACTGTTCTGACCTAGTAAATACATGATATCAGATGTTTCTCACCATCCCCCCCACCTACTCCCCCGACCACACACACACACACACTGAATGTTTACATTCAACTAGGGCTTTGGGTCATGAATGTGCTTCAGGCTTAGAGCAGCTCTGTGATGATTAATCATGATAGCTTGATGGGCTTTAGAATCGCCATGGAAACAGAACTCTGGGAATGTCTGTGGAGGACTTACTGTAGGCTGGCACCATTTCATGGTGAATGAAAGGAAAAAGCAAGCTCAACACCAGTGTTTGTTGCTGTTTCCCGACTGTGGATACAATTTGACCAACTGCTTCCTGATCTTGCCACCGTGCCTTCTGTTATGATGGATCAAACAGTGAGTCAAAATACAATTGTTCTGGAGCTGCTTTCTTTTATCAGGTATTTTGTTTGAGCAGAAACACCTATTTAATGCAAGCGCTTCGACAACAGCAGGTGTGTAGTATTTGTTGTACAGGACAGTGAGGCAGTTCTGGGTCAAAGGTTCACATCACTGAAGTCCCATGAGCCCCACTCTGACTAGTGGACTGCAGTGGCGCTTGAATTCCAGGGATGCCGGCTAACAAAGCACCGCTGTCTGCCAGCCATGGAAAGAGCGGTCTAGATGGTCCCTCCCTCGGTGTGCAGCTATTTTAATTGGTCCTAAGTCTTTTTATGGAAGCCTAGGTCTCCTCTTTCCCAGGTGTCTAGCCTTTCATTTGAAGGGCTAGACACGTGGCATTAAAAGTTAGTGTGGAACTGGTTAATGTACCATAACTTTACAGTGGTTTTAGTTAGAACTGAGTTACTGATTTCTAGCTATGCTTAAGAAGTGAGACTTTGGCCCGGGCAGTGGTGGCCCTTTAATCTCCAGAGGTAGAGATGGGTAGATTTCTGTGAGTTCAAGACCAGCCTGGTCTAGAGTGAGTTCCAGGACAGCCATGGAGAACCCCTGCCTGGAGGGAAAGGTAGAAGTGAGATTTACAATAACAGACTTCCTTCTGGTTGCTGTGGAGTAGAGTTTAGGGATGGTAAGCCTAGTTTCCTTTACCCAAGGCCCTGGGGGTAAGACATTTGACCACTCAGGCCTTGGTCTCCACTTGTGTCTGTGCCTTGTGTCCTTTGCTAGGTTTTCGAGGAAACTCCTAAACACAGGATGGTTGTTCAAATGGTATCAAACGTGACAAAAAGTGAGTTACTACACAAAAGGTCAAATATAAGTATATGTTCACTACCTTCCTATTTCTCTTTCTCAATCACTAAACAGAAGAAACATACTGAATCTCTATCACAGAGAATAAGGAAGCAATTTATTAATGCTTTTTCTAAAAAGCAAATTTCAGGGGCTAGAGTTCAGTGGGTAAGAACACTTGCTGCTCTTGCAGAGGACCTGGCTTCAGTTCCCAGCCAGCACCCACATGGCAGCTTAAAACCACTTGTAACTCCAGTTCTTGAGGACACGGAGTTGTCGTCAGGTCTCCATCAACATGGTACACACTGGTATCCATCCATCCATCCATCCATCCATCCATCCATCCATCCATCCATCCATCCATGTAGGCACTCATACATATACATAAAATAAAAATAAATACATCTTTTAAAAAGACAAAATTCATTTTCATCATGTTGAGGGATTCTAGATTAATGTTATTCTCTGATGTTTTATAAAACAGGAGTAATACATTATGGCAAATAAAAATTACTTTCTACTCAGGGAGGCAGAGGCAGGTGGAGCTCTGTGAGTTTGAGGCCAGCATGGTCTACAAAGAGAGCTCAGGACAGCCAGGGCTACACAGAGAAACCCTGTCTCAGAAAACAAAAAAACAAAACAAAAAAAAATTTCACCCTAATAGAGAAGCAAATTATAGGCTAAAAAAAAAAAAAAAAAAAAAAAAAATCATTTAATAGATATCTTTACACATAAAGATTTTTTCATTTTTAAAAGTTCAGTTTCTGGGATGAATGGTTTTTATACCAAGTCTTCAGAAAATTTAACCAGCTGCTCTTTGTCAAGACCCCTGAGTACTGGGGACTAAAAGCAGGAAGCCTTATGCGACAGTATGTTCTTGGCCACACCTACCGGCAGAGCCTGCACTCTTAAAGCTACGGGGTGTGGTGAGGGCTACAGGGAATCCTGGAGAGAGCGGATTCTTGCCTGGCTGCCATCTCAGGATGTGCCCCTGGCTCAGGGCATCCAGCTGGGGACAGTTTGGGGGCATGTGCCTTCTTATATTTACATATGAATGCATCTGTTTTTCCAAGGCCAACTTTGAAGCACTCCACTGGCACCAGTGAGCCCCAGGGCAACATCCTACCGGGCCGCTGCAGGCTATCGGCTTTATGTGGAGGTGATGCTGTGTTGGGTGCACCAGTTCTGCCAGGATTCAAAAGCATCTTCATCTCAGGGTCAGCGACATTGCCCTGGGCAGTCAGGGGCATGCTTCCGCCTCCGCAGTCTCTAAGACACTGGTGGTGATCTTCACTGAGCAACAAGACCATGGCTCCTCCAACACGCAGCACTCTGTGACAAAACAAAACAAAATAAAACAAAACAAAACGGTAATTGCAATGAGTATTTCTATGTTCCCAGACAACAAACCATCCTGGTTTATTTAAAATAGTTGTTAATCTGAAATTTAATTTCATCTATTTAAATATAAGAGTTTTGATAATTAGGTAGCATCTTCCATAATGCATATTCATTATAGTAATTATGGAGTCTCTAGTACAAATCTGCTTTAATTATCTATTTTTGCTCTACTTAAAGGCAAGCTTCAAAGTAATCTGTAGTCACATTCTAACAAATGATTGTACAACAGGGAAAGCAAGTAACAGAATCCTATGGAATCAGCATATTTAAGGAAGAGAAGGCTGATGGCACAAGTCACCAGGGAGGAGTTAGGCCACAACAAAGGGATGGTCAAGGGACGATCCCACAAGGGCACACCCCGAAACATCTGCTTTGAGGATTTCTCACTCAGTCACTCAAGTGCTGTCAGTGACACATCTGTGGCAACAGTGACAGAGGAACGTACAGCACTGGCCTGACGGAAGGTCCACAGCAGTGAGGGGGAGGTCAGGGCAGTTAAAGAGTGCGACAGAAGTTGCAAGGTGTACACATGAGAGGCGCCACAACCAGGCTCAAAAGTAAGCCAGGCCAGTGACAGGAAGAGGCCCAGCCTGGGAGGTAGCAGGGCAGAAGCATCAGGACAAGGCAATGAAAGTGGCTTAGCCTGGGGCAAGCTGAAAAAGGAGACAGAATTCAGTCTGGAGTATGATGCCACCCAGGGTGGGTTCCAAAGGGCAACGGGGTGCGCAGCTTGGGGGTCCTGAGAGACCAGGGTGTGAAGCAGAGATGGAAGGTTTAATGTAAATGGAAGAAAAAGCCAAAATGGCTGGGATCAGCTGGGTGGCAGAATAAGAGGGAACAAAGACCTCTCTTAAGGAAGGACTGTGGAAGAAAGCCAAGAGCCACAGCCTAGAGGAAACTGGGACAGCACTGGTGCCATAGAGGCTACAGGAGCATGGTTTCAAGGGTCAAAAGCTATAGGACCAGCAAGTAGCCATGGTTAGATGCCACCAGAAAGCCTGGGGACAGGAGGGCCAGGGCAGACAGGAGATAATGAATTGCTAGGGAAGGGTCTTTTCCCAGCATCTCTTCCCGGCGTCCACTCAGAAAGCAGTTGTAAATGCCTGCTCACTCTGTAGTCACTTTGCTGGGTGTCAGGGAAGTTCTAAACTCTGTCCTATGGCACTCAGGCTCTTCTGCACTCTGCCTGCTCCTGCCTTTCTAGATCCACTGCCTGCCCACTTCTCTCTGGCCAGGGATCTTCCTTCAGTTGGTCAGACTCAATGACATGCTTCTGTCTACACTATCTGCTTGCTCTCCACTCAAGCACATGGCCTTGTGTGCTTACTCGTCCTCCAGGCCCTAGTTAGAAAGCATCTTGGTAGAAAGGCACCTCCTGACTGTGCCTAAGGTAGAGCCAGAACCGTTCTGTCCAGCAGGGAATCCTGCTCCATTTCTCCACAGCAGCACTCATGATGGGCAACACTGCTGTGTGTACTGTTGTTCTGCTCTGACAGGTGAAACCTCACCTGTCCTGCCCACTGCTGTGTCCTCAGGATCTAGTACAGGACAGACATTTACACAAAGCTGAGAGCATCTCGGGAAAGGATGACTGAGTCTCTTAGAAAGAACAGGAAGATAAAAATGGCTGAAGATAAGAGCGGAAAGTAGGCAGAGTATGGTTCTTGAGGAAGGAACTGGGAGAAGCAGCCTGGCTGGAGGAGAGAAGCCATTTCTGTATAGACCAGAAGGCAGGAGGTCAGAAATAAGAAAACAACTATCTCTGAACAGAGCGAAGAAAATATAAGTGGTAATGATACACAATCTTTTAACTCATTTCATTGTCAAAGATGAAAAGACTGATGGTGAGACTGAGACAATGAGCACTCTTGAAGCATTCTTGCTTCCTGCCCCCAGCCTTTATGACCTGACTTTTGCATGCTTTCAGCTGTAACATTTTTGGGATATTCCATTAGTTATAGTGTATCAACAATACAGCATATCTTCAACCCTGCAATATCACCTCTATGGAATTATCCCGTGATGATGTAACAGCAGCAGCAGCAGCAGCAGCAGCAGCAGCAGCAGCAGCAGCAGCA